CACTGAACTCCGGGCACTGTTTGTTTTGGAGACCAGTTGGTCGGTTGTGTTGGAATATGATGTCTGGATGATTGCCTCCCTCTGTGAAGCCTTTGGCAGGTTTCTCTCAGCTTATGACCACACCAGGCCAGCCCGGCTAGGTGCCTGTCACCATGCTCTGCTCTGCTTTGGCAGATGGTGTTCTGAGTGCGCTGTGTTCCTTGAGCACCCATGTCTTATACACCTCTACTGGGGACACTCCTAGCTAATGGGTGGAGCCAGCCCCCTGTCACAGCATGTCCTGGGTATCTGCTCAGCTATCTTCCTGGTGTCAGAAGACGCTTTTCCTAATAGAAGGCTCAGGTGATAAGCAAACATATACTGTAGTAGAAATATATAGACTGTAACAAAGACAGATCTTTAAGAATTTTCTTTTTTAAAAAAACAAGGCAAAGGTAAAGGCCCTCCCATTGTTTGTCGATTTGCTCGAGCGGGCCCAGTAACGTCTCCATTGGAGACTTTGTTGTTACTGTGTTTGGCATATTGAATATGTCACGGGGAGCTTGCCAGGCTTTGCCGTGCGGGCGAGATACTCTCGGTAGCTTGCCGGGCTCTCCGAGAGGGGCGGAGGAATCGAACTCGGGTCGGCCATGTTGACTGCGTGCAAGGCAAACGCCCTACCGCTGTGCTATCGCTCCAGCCCTAAAAAAATACTTTATTTAACAGTGCTTTACAAAGTCGTTCATAATACAGTTGTTTTGGGCAGTCAGTATTTCGGCACCAGTCCCACCACCAGTGTGACCTTCCCTACACCATTGTCCCCAATTTCCCACTCTACCCCCACCCCCAAGCCTACCACCTTGACAGGCACAAAATAAATTATATTGCTTGCGACGATCAACGGGAGGGCCTTTACCTTTTACAATGAAATGGTATTTGAATCACAAAAAAATAGTTCAGTGAAAGAATGAAATGGTATATGAATTACAAAAAAATAGTTCAGTGAAAGAAAATTTGTGAAAAAAGTAACAGCTCACATTGGTGTTACTAAAGCCAATGTCTAAGCGTTTACTGGGCTTTTTGTTGGTAGTTGAGCTTCTGTGTTAACGCAGTTGGTCTCTGCGTTACTTTCCCACCTTGTGTGCTGTGCTCCACTGGACTGTGAGGACTGTGGGGTTTGGAGATGTGGAGCTGGAATGACAGTGGCCTGCCCCCTCCTGAGGGTTCCCAGGGTTTTCATCCTCTGTTTGGCATTTCTTCCAAGATTAGTCTAGTCGTGAGGCTGTGAAACTAGCCAGTGTTTAGGGGGCGGCGACTGTGGACTGTGGGTGTGGCTGCTGGGGCTTCTCAAAATATGGGGCTACTGGGGGAGGCCACCCACCCCTACACCAAGAAGACCCCAGAGTTTTCAGCCCAAAGACCCGACCTGGAGTTTTACCTGCCTGGCATCTGCAAGATCAGTCGTGAAGCAGTGGAGCTGGGCTGTTTGCATGATGGCGGCTGTGGGCTGTCGGTGCAGCTGCAGGGCGGGGACTCGGCCCACCCCTCTCCTGAGGGTGCCCAAGACTAGTGCACCCGTGACTTTCATCTGCATGGCTTAGTGTCTCTTCCAAGATTAGTCATGAGATTGTTAAGCCAGGCCATTGACATGGTGAAGGCTCTTAACTTAGCATTTTCAGTACAGAACGTATCTGGGAATTCAGAAAATTCTGAAGTAGAGTCAGATTTAATAATATATAGGATACAAACATTATTATTATTATTATTATTATTATTAAAGGTAAATCTTGGGGTTAGAGTGATAATATAGGGGTTAAGGCGCTTGCATTGAATGCAGTTGACGCTGGTTCAATTCTTGGCATCACATACGGTCCCCGAACCCTGCCAGGAGTGATCCCTGAGTGCAGAGCACAAAGTGAATCTTTTTATATTTTTTCAAAATTTTTTATTTAAAAAATATTTTGTTTATTATTTTGGTTTTATATTTTGAAGTAAGATAGTTTTATTTAGTAAGATACAAGAAGGAAGAGAAAGAGGTATATACTTCTCCAGAGAGCCAAAGGGGCCTCAAAAAGTCAAAAAAAATCACACTTCTCAAGTTGGAATGAGGGGGACCCCAAAATCGGCAACGTGCACAGAAATTTCATCTACATGACCCTCATCACGTTGACTCTGTTCCTGTTCATTGCTCACTTGTCACCATTCTTGGCATGAGAGGGGAATCAGTTCTGTCCCATGCTTTTCCTCTATGACAGTTGAGATGGCGTGTCCAGGTGGCCTGTGATAGGAGCCTCACTTGGTGAACTGGCCTTGCCTTCTCAGGGCAAACCACTCAGTTGTGGCATGTTGTCATTTTCATGTGTTTTCAAGTTGTCTATTTTGTTGAGGTGTTTGGCTTCACTGTTTATCAAGGACATCAGTCTCATTTTCTGTCCCGGTAGTTTTGTGTGCATTTGGAGGCCGACCCGTGAAAGGAATCATTCAGGAAGTGTGCCTTTCCCTCTACTGTTCTGATGGGGCTGGGCACAGCTATCAACTGTCCAAGTGTTCAGTGGACTTCAGCCATGTCTCTGACAGCCCTGAATTCTCACTGATTTGATCTCCTTGAGACTTAGAGAGTCAGTCATATTTTCCAAATCTTCCCAATTCTATCTTAGTAGGTTCTTGTTCTAGGAATTTATGTTTTATCTGGGTTATTCTTCGACATATCAGCATGCTATTATTTGTGTCCTTGCTTCTAGTCCTCTTTATTCTGTCAAGTTGGTCTTTCATTTCTGATTTTTGTTATTTGTGTCTTCTCTCCTTTTTTCTTAGTCTTGCAGAAATATTGCTAATTAAAAAAAAAATAGTACAGTGTTAAGATACTTGCCTTGCACACAGCCAATCCAATTTAATTCCCAGCACTCTATATGGTCCCCTGACCCTGCCAGGAATGATCCCTGTGTGCAAATCCAGAAGTAACCCCTGAGCACAGCCTGGTGCTGTGGTGTGGCCCAGAAAAACTATCATTTTTCACAGGTATAAGAATTAAACATATTAATAGTATGAATAACTCTAGGCCAATGCCATTTTAAATTTACATAAAGTAGTTAAATTTTATAAATAAACAATTCAGTAAGGAGAGAAGAATTAAGAAAATTTTAAGGGAAAATCTGAACAGGTCTATAAAAGTATAAAAGTGTATTTTATTCTAAAAAGAGAATATGACTTTATGTTAGAAAGTATTATATTATAGATAATGCTTAAGTATCTACATTAATTAGTTTTTAAAAATACAATAAAAATCTCTATAAGTATTTTTTAAAGTCAACTTACCAGACATAGCCATTAAATTTAACCGTTAATTCATTATGAGAAAGCATAAAATCCATTAACAGCCTAGGAATAAATAGACCTACGTTTGTGTGAAATTGGACTATAATTTTTTTTCTTTTTGAGTCACATCCGGTGATGTACAGGGGTTACTCCTGGCTCATGTACTCAGGAATTACTCCTGGCAATGCTTGGAGGATCATATGCTGGAAATCAATCCCGGGTCGACCTCATGCAAGGCAAAGTCCTACCTGCTGTGCTATCGCTCCAGCCCCCGGACTGTAATTTTTATTTCTTGTACTGTCCTCTTTTGCTTTTTATTTCAATTTAGGTTTATGAAGTTAGCAAAGACTCTCCTTTTATTTGTAATTAGCAAAATAGTAGATTTTCAGTAAAATTCCATTCTTTGACTGTTTGCTAGAATTTTCTGTAATATTTCTTTCTTGAGTTTGTGAGTGAATACTTAAGTTCTGATTTGATTTGTTTAATGGCTACAGGATATTCAACATTCTGCTCCTTTTCCTTTTAAACAGTGTCATCTTTATTGAGATATTTTTCACATACCATAAAATTCACCCTTTTGCGAAGTATGCAAGCAGGTAGGTTTCACAGTGTAGAACCACCACCCCTAATTTTGAAACATCTTCACCACCGAAAGGACCTCTGGACTCTCTTGTTCTCTCTCATCCCTTGTCTGTGGCACAGCAGTCAGTGAATGAGTTTGATTTTAGGGTGCCTTTAATCCTGCATTTTTGAAGGTGGCATCAGGGCCTGGCTCCTACCACTCAGCAGACTGGATGTCTTTGTCTTAAGAGTCTCATTCCTCCGTTTCCTCGCCAGGCTGCCCACTCATAAGATAATGAGCATTTGGGTCACATTTCCATTTTTACACTGTTAGAAAGAAGGTATTTGCGGTGTCCCCGCAGGGCTTCTGTGTGAACATCGATTTTGACTGCTTGCAGACGTGCTTAGGAGGGTCACCGTTGAGTAGTGATGACTTCGTCTGAGGCCCTCAGCATCTGCCAGAGGGTTTTCCAAACAGCCTTTCACAGTCCCGTTGTGGACAGAGTTCCAGTCCCTCTATATCCACTCAGCACTTGTTGCAGTCTCTTATTTCAGTGGACTCGGACAGCTCAGTGATATTCCACTGTAGTGTGGATTTGCATGTCCTCAATGACTGATGAGTACTGAACATTTTTCCGTGTGTTCATTAGCTAATCACTTTTCTGGAGCAGTAGCTAGTCCGCCAGCACTTGGCGGTTCTGATCCGTCAGTAAAGTGGACATTCATGGTTGAAGGAAGCTTCTGCTGCAGTGTGATGAAGCTAAGCATGGTGAGGAGATGGGGGTCAAGGGTATGCATTGGTGGGGTTGTGAGAGCTGCCATGCTTCAGACTGACCTGGGTGGCGGGTGGTGGGCAGTGCCCGAGGTGAGACCAGGAGTTCTGTGCTCTTCTGGGGGATAGCATGGAACAGCGAACAGGCCCCAAGGCAGGAGCATGTGGATGGCATCAGAGGCCGCAGTATGGGTGAGGAATGGGGTTAGTAGGCAGGTCGGGGCGGGCCGAGGTGGCGCCAGAGCCTCCTCCTTCTTCCCAGTGGGATGGGCCAAGAGGGCAGCATGGACAGCAGCAGAGAGGAGTGAGCACAGCCGTCTGGCTCAGGCTCAGAAACCTTCAAGGGACTTGATCATTCTCTCTGCGATTTTAGATACAACACCGCCAATACAGACACAGAAGAGCAGAACTTTCCTGTCATGAAGCAACTCAACACCCACATAGAAGAATTAAGCTTAGATGACCTCCTTCAGAAGGCCGATCGTTTACGGACGAATGATTCTAGCAAGAAGGAAAGTTTTGAACTACTTTATGACCACAGAGAGAAGGTAAGCGATGCATGGCAGTCACCTACTTGGGAGTCTGAGCCCTTCGTGTGAGTGCTGCTCCACGTGCACCATGCCACGGCCACATAAGCTGAATAGTGGGTGCCACACGCTTCGGGCTACGACTTCTGAGAAGTAAATAAAGGAGAATTTGGGGGCCCATAAGGTCACAAAATATGATCTCTGCAGCTGGATTTTGATTCTCTTTATTAATCTGATATATTTAATGTAACAGATAAAAAGAAATAAGACCTCCTGCTTCCCTGTGGGGGAAGAAAAGACTGATTTTTAAGTTTCCTTTCTCATAAGGGCTCATATAACTGCAATCAGTATTTATCCCAACTGAGTTCACCCAAAGTGCAATTTCTTCTTTTCAGTTTAGAGATGAAATCGAGTTTATTTGGCGGTTGGCTCGGGCTTATGGAGACATGTGTGAGCTATCTACGAATGTAGGTGAGAAGAAGCATTATGCTAATGTCGGTGAGTATTTTATAAAGCCTGATTATTCAATTCAGTGATCATCTACTATGAACCACTAATGAATTTTATGTTATCTTAGAAATGATGAAGCTTAGCGTGAGGAGATGGGGCCAAAGGGGATGCAGTGATTAGCTCTGTTTAATTAGTTTAATGGTGTTTAATTACCAGATGTTAATAGTAAGTCATTATGTTTAACCCATATCATTATGTCTTGATACTGAAGAATATACAAAATCTACAGACAGGAAGACTTTTTTCTTTCTTTTTTTTTTAGTAAAATCATTTTGGAGCTGGAGAGATAGTACAGTGAACAGCGTGTTCACCTTGCATGCAGCTGACCTGGGTTTGATTCCCAGCATCCCATAGGGTCCCCTGAGCACAGCCAGGAGGACTAACCCCTGAGCATCAATGGGTGTGGCCCAAAACCAAAGCCCACAAAACAGCCGTGTGCCATCTCTAGGAGCATGTAGTCCTGTGAAATCAGAACCCCTTGAATTCCACGGTCATCCCAGTCTTCTCCTGCCCTGGCTGTCTCTCCTCTGAGAACCCGGGAAGAACTGCCCCACTTCCATGCTGGTGTCACCTCTGTTTTATAGGAGCCTTGGGGCGCCCAAGGCTGCTGCTGGCTTGCAGCTCAGGAAAAGGTGCCTTTGTTTCTAACGCATGGATTGAAAGTGCTGTGTCTTTTCACAGTTAGCCTGTTGTTCTGCACACCCACGATTAGTCCAGTTGGTATTAAAACTCTTCATGTGTGGGTTTTCTTCCAGTTTATGTCAATTTATACACAGGCTCTCTTAATGGATAGGACTATAAATTAACACTTGGCATGTCATTGGATTGTCTTCTAAAGGCAAAATGTAAATAAAATGAAAAGGCAGGGCCCCAGGGAGACATGTGAAACAAAACAGCCACTTTGGATGAAAGCTCTTCAGAGTGATTTCATTGGTTTTTTTTTGTTTTGTTTTGTTTTGTTTTGGGCTACACAAAGAATATTATTTGTTAATTTGAATGATGTAACTATCTGTGTAAGAACATTGAATAAAGTGATAACCCTTCTGGAATATTTATGTTTCTTTGCTAACTGCTTTATTTCTGGCACAAATCACTAGCAGTAGTCATTGCAGTGGTGCTCAAGGGTCTTCTCTGGCTCTGCACTCAGGGTACCCTATGGGATGTGGGAGATCAAACCTGGGTTGGCCTTGTGCAAGGCAAATGCTGTACTATTGCTCTGGCTCAGAGTGGTTTCACTTTTGTTGTATGTATTTTGATTCTTCAAGCAAGAGATAAAACCTCAGCCCACAGTGTTCATTATAGACCTGGAAGTTCTGTGAACTACAGGAAGAAGAGGACATTATCCACTCTGGAGCCTGTGCTGACCTGCAGACACACACACACACACACACACACACACACACACACACACACACACACACACCGTGCCAGCCTCCCCTGCAGGCACCTGCTCCGTCTCCAGTTCACTCCCCACGGCTTCCTGTGCCCTGCATCTGACTGGGGCTCAGTGGCCCCTGACTTCCCAAGGTTCTCATATAGGGGCACTCAGTAGTCTCAGGCAAAGCTGATGCTTTGAGCATTAGGAAAGCACTGACAGAGCCCAGCGACCCCCACCCATAGGCTCCCGGGAAGATGCTGGTGGCAGGTATGGTGTGGGACCGTGTTGTATGAAACCCTCCCATTAACGGCGTTGTACTAAGCCTAAGCATGTTTACCTTTCAGGGAAGACGCTAGGTGAGAAAGCGATTTCCCAGGCGCCTACGAACGGACACTGTCACCTGTGGTGAGTGTACTGCTTGTCATGGCTCTGAATGGCAGCTCTGCCTCCTAAGATCATGGAGATCTTAACATGCTTGCTTATTTGGTTGGTTTTGGGGGGAGCCACGCCCAGCAATGCTCAGGGCTGACTCCTGGATTTGCACTCAGGGATCACTCCTGGTGTGGCTCAGGGGAACATATGGGATACCAGGGACAGAACCTGCCTGGGTGAGCAGCATGCCAGGCAAGCATCCTACCCACTGTACTATGTCTCTGGCCCCAGTTGCTAAAATATTCTTGACCCAGGTCACGTGCCTTTCTCATTCATCAAATCCTAGCAGAGATTATCTTCTTCCTGTTGATTCTCACGTGTTCTTAGTATGCATAGTTTAAACATACTTGAGCTAAACTTTTTTTTAAATTTTTTTATTTCATAAAGTCGTTCACAATATTTCATTAAATTTAATATTCAAACACTAATTCCACCACCATTACACCTTCCCAACCACCATATTTTGGATGTTTCCATCCTGTACCCCAATCCCTGTCCCAAAGCAAAACTGAAATAATGTATTTTGTATTGTTTGTTATGAAAAACCACTGAAAATGCTACAAAAAAGTATCCTTACAGGAAAGAGTATGGAGGTTGTTGTATTTTACCCAGGAGCCAGTAAGCCCTTCTATAAGAGATCACTAACGTGTTGTTAAAGGTTGAGCCTTATGTGCTTTATATATATATATGTATATATATGTATATTTCCCTCTAAGATTGTTTGCCTCCGATTTTGAACCCCATCAAATGTGGTGTGGTACTCTTGGATAGGGTGTGTGGTATGAAGTGTCAAGGCCGCAAGGTCCAGGAATAGGTTCATTCGTGGGTGAGGCTCAGTCTGAGCGTGTGGAGAGCAGCCCTGAGCATGGCCTTGAGCATGGTGGCAGTTGAGTTCTGGAAGTTTTCAGCTGCTGGGGCTCGGTCCCTTGGGGCAGGGAGGGGGTCTCACCCCTCCCCCCGGGCACCCCATTAAGCTAAATTTTCAATGACTTTTTCATAAGCAAAACTACTACTGAGTCCACTGGCTTTCGGTACAGTGAATGCTAATAAAATCTGACTTAATCTAAAACTCTGCTTAAAAGCAAATACTGAAAGGACTTCATATACTTTAACCACAGTCCACGGTCCTCCCGTTGTTCATTGATTTGCTCGAGCAGGCCCAGTAACATCTCCATCATGAGACTTGTTGTTACTGTGTTTGGCATATCGAATATGTCATGGGTAGCTTGCCAGGCTTTGCCGTGCAGGCAAGATACTCTTGGTAGCTTGCCGGGCTCTCCGAGAGGGGCAGAGGAATTGAACTCGGGTCAGCCATGTTGGCCGCTTGTAAGGCAAACGCCCTACCGCTTAGAACTCTTAAAATGACCATGTATCAGCCATCCTGTGTACCTTGCTGAGTTATACAAATTCCAGAGCAGAGTTAAACTATTCTAAATAGAAAATCACCAAGGAAGAAAAGCTGGATGCATTTTCATATCTTTGGGGCATGTTCATATCTTTGGAGGGAAAATAAAGTATTCGTGAATATGTTTTGATGTGTCATTTTAGTGGATGCTTCATTTCACTGAGACTTTTATTTTTATAACCTGTTTTACTTTTCCCCCATTTTATTTAAACACCACAGTTCGTTGCAGGCACTCAATATTCCAACACCAATCCCACCACTACTGTCCCCTTCCCTCCACAATTGTCCCCATTTTCCCAACCTCCTCTAAAGCCCCCATAGCAGGCCCACAATAATTTATTTTATGTTGCTTATAACCTCTAAATGGCTAATGGAATTATTAAAAAAAAAACTTAGGTAAAAGAAAATTTGTGAAAATTGTTGTATCTCACCATGAGGACATTAGTCTTTGTTTGAGAGTTTAAGCTATTGTTGCTGCTAGCTGAGCCTTCTGTGTTAATGTTTCTGTTAGTTGAGCCTAGTTGGTTACATTACATCCCCATCCAATCTGATGTGCTCCTTCTGGGATGTGAGTATTGTAGAGTTTGTAGATGTTGCGCGGCCACAGTCACAGCTACACTTTTGAGAACATCCAGAATGCTTAAGCTGGCGATGAGCTTAATGGCGGCAGTGACTATAACCATTTCTGTGTCTTGATTTCCATGCACGGTACCAATGCATGGAAACTGCAGGAACTAAGAGTATGAGAGAGGCCAGAGTGAGAGCACAGCATGGACATTCACCCTGCACACAGCTGACCTGGGGTCGACCACCAGCACCCCATAAGGTTCCATGAGCCCACCAGGAGTGATTTGAGTGCAGAGCCAGGAGTAACCCCTGAGCACCAGCGGGTGTGGCCTCAAAACAAACAAAACAAGAGAAATGGATTAATGTGTGACACTTCTCTCAGCCCTCGGTTTCCAGGAGCCACCTACTTTGGGGTGATTTTCTTTCTCTCTCAGCGGGCTTCCCTCCTGCAGGGAAGGGGTCTCTACTTCCACTAGCTCCACTAACCCCTTTCCCACCCAGGCCTGTTGCTCTACACTGCCACCAGCAGGGGGAGCTCCACTCGCAAGCTAAAATCCCGCCCGGCCACCTGGTAACATTTGTTAGTTTGTCCCTTCCCCCCACAGGACTTCAGGGGACCCCAGGACATAATCAGAATCTTCTGAAGCCACAGGAAAGCCTGATAAAGAAGGCAAGGAAGCTGCTGCTCAGGGTGGGGGGTGGGAGGCTTCAGCTGGGCACCGACATCTAGCACAGGCTGAGCACTGAGCACGGGACGGGCCCTGGGACCCTCACACGTGATCCGCTGCCAGTGCTTGTCTCTCACTTCCTGGCTTCTACTCTGGCTCCCAGGTAGGGCTGTTGTGTCGTTGCCCATCTTTGCCCAGTTTTTTGATATGAACTAATCGCCTGGTTTTTAACCCTGAGATGACAAGTTAATTCATGCATACATGTGCGTGTGCACAAAATAATGGAATGATTGTGTTTTACTTGGTTTCTTAGTATCAGCTTTTAATGATAATTTTTAAAAAGTCTAATCAGGAAGTGATCATCGATGTCAAGAGAGGGTTTGGGCAGGGTGATACCATTTCACCAAAACTCTTCAGTGCCACCCTCGAGAACGTCATGTGATGACTGGAATGGGAAGGAATGGGAATGAAGATAGACAGTCAGCAACTACACCACCTCCACTTTGCTGATGACATCGTTCTAATAACACCAAACATTAGCCAAGCGGCACAAATGCTGGCCGACTTAGACCGTAAGTGTGAAAAGGACGGACTGCAGCTGAATCTCACAAAGACAACGTTTATGAGAAATGGACTGGTTCCTGACGTTCGTTTTGCTCTCCATGGAATGAACATCTCCGAATGCAACAGTTACATGTACCTAGGTCGAGAAGTCAACATGACAAATGACCTGGCACCTGAGTTGTGCAGGAGGAAGAGAACGACTTAGAATGCCTTAAGAGCATTGAAGAAATAACTAAGGATGAAGAACCTCTGTCTCCAAGCACATCTCTTCGATTCCACCGTTCTTCCTGTATTAACATACACCTCAGAGACCTGGGCCCTATGAAAACAGAATGAGAACACTATTCGGGTCTCCCAAAGAGGAATTGAAAGAGCTATGTTTGGAGTATCATGCTCCACTCAAGTGAGAGAAAGAATCCAGAGTTCCGACCTTCATCAATGATTGAGAATCAGTGATGCTGTCTCGTTTGCCAAGGCATCAAAATCAGATGGGCTGGACATGTACTGCAATTTGGAGACAACCGCTGGACTAGAGCCATTACTGACTGGATTCCACAGGACGTCAAAAGATCGCATGGCTACCCACCTATGAGATGGTCAGAGTTCTTCGTCAAGACCCTGAATGATTGGTTTGAGGCTCTTCGTGTTCCTGGAGTGAGCAGATGCCATTGGCCTATACTAGCACGCGACAGGAACAAATGGAGACGTTACCGGCGCCTGCTCAAGCAAATCGATAAGTAAAGGGATGTCAAGTGATCAAGTGAATCAGTTGGTAAAATTTAGTAGATTTAAATAGTAGTTAGGTCTTACTTCCTGGATTGTGGTCTCATGTATCTGCATATAGGAGTTCTCGTTCAACTAAATAGTAGTTGTAGCTTAATGGAAAAAAGATAAAGTGGAGTTAAGGCATCCTAAGTTGTCTTATTCTGTAATGGTAATAGACCATCTGGAAAAGATTTTATTCTTCTGGGATTGAGTATTTTATAATTCATTCAGTGCAAATGACTGTACAAATGAGGCTCCAGGCCAGGTCCGCCTCCTGCCTGGTTGAAGTTCCTGTTGCTTACAGCCATGGTGAGGGTTGCAGTTGCCACCCTGTCCCCAAAGCCCACCTTGGAGACGCTTGGGTTTTTAGCTTCATTGTTTCCAAACTGAAATTCTCATTTGAAGCCTCCAGAAGCCTCCAGTACCAAATAAAACAACATTTGCCCCTAGAATTAAGAGAACAGAATCAACAGCCAGGCCATAGCCTGCTGGCCTAATGGCCTGGTTTTCATTGTAACTAATGTCTGACACATTAGTTCTGGTCTGCCATTCACAAATTATAACCACATGCTTCTTACTGACTTGCAACTTGCAGAGCAACTGATTTCCATGGTAGAGATAGGGAAACTGGGGGGAGTGAAGTGTGTGTGTGTGTGTGTGTGTGTGTGTGTGCGCGCGCGCGCGCGCGCGCGTGCACATGCACATACACGGTGTCTTATGTTGAAAGTAACCATGAGGGGCTGGATCGATAGCACAGCGGGTAAGGCGTTTGCCTTGCACGCAGCCAACATGACCGACACAGGTTCGATTCCCAGCACCCCATATGGTCCCCTGAGCACTGCCAGAAGCAATTCCTGAGTGCATGAGCCAGGAGCAACCCCTGAGCATCGCCGGGTGTGACCCAAAAAGCAAAAAAAAAAAAGAAAGAAAAAAGAAAGTAACCATGAATTTGTTCAAATATTAAACCCAGATCTTATATTCTTAAATACTCAGATTCTTCCTCTGCTTCTCTGAATGCAACGGGCCCTGGTGCCAATTCTTACCACAGGGAACTGTTCTTACAGTCCCAAGGAGAATCTTGTCCATAATTGCCTTTACTTTCAATATTGACACAGAGAAATGAGAATTCTAGAAAGGACTTAGGTTGGAGGTTAGCAGCCGCTCTGTGACTGAACCTTCTGCAGTGATCTGGTTAGCCATGGACCAAAAGATAATGTTCTCTTTAAATGGATAATATATCTTTTTAAAGGATGCACAAAAATACTCAGGAATGTGCTCAGGAATGCATATGGGTTTCGGTAGGGGATGACAGAAAAGAAGTTCTGATTCTTTGGGGACAAAGTCATTGGGTGAATCTGGAATTTGTGAGATGTCAAAAGAAGATAAGTCAGTACCATGTCCACTGACCCAAAATGGGGTGTTTTTTGGCTGGAAGTTGCTTTGGCCATTGCTGCCCCGTAGTACTCTGAGCACTTCACAAGAGAGCCTCAGCAGCATCACAGCAAGTGGATCAGCCAGACAAACCAGGATGCGCAGCCAGTAGGTCACAGGGATCAACTTCTAGGTCACCGCACAGCAGCTGCAGACAGTGTGTCATGTTTCAGCTCATCTCTGATGGCTGCCGGAGAAGCCAAGTGCAGATCTCACTGTCCACCGCTGTCCATGGCACATGTGGTGACTTCTCCGGGAAACTCTAGTACTGTCCCAGCTACGATCGCCTGGTGTTTGTTCAACAAAGGCATCACACAGGTAAAATATGCCCCTGTAGTGGCGCCATCTTTCCCTCCATCTCCTCGCCTCTGAAAAATGTGACCTCCGAAGCCCACCAAGCAGCAGGAAGACAAAGGCAGGTGCTGCAGGGCACTCCTGTGTGAGAGAGAGGCAGTTCCCTCTGTGGCAAGCAATCCCCATGACAATCTTCACAGCATTGTTGGAAGCCATGGCCTGAAGGGCATTTGCTTTAATAACATTTGCTACTTGTATTACTACTTGGAGGGACTCTCGCACGTGCTCTACCCGTAATTGTGCAACCAAATACCAAAGGTGACCCATACAGTGAACATACAATACTCCTGGCAAAACACCCTTCAGGTGTGCAGTGACGCCTCGGTGTATGCCTGCAGCAGGGGGACAGCATCTGTGACACAGACCAGAATGTTCTCAAGAGGGACATGTGTCTATTTCCCTAAATACCTCTGTACTTCTCCCAAAGTGGCCTCCCCTGGAGTTTCTGCTTGGAGCTGGCATTTGGCATGTCTTCATTTCCATGGTGAAGAGCCCTTCTAGGCACCCGAGCAGCACTGCTGTGTTGTCTGGTGAACTTAGTGCATCACTCAGCTGGTGCAGTCTTCTGACCTCAGGTTAGTCGGCTTTCACCATCACTGCCATTTCATCGACACCCGATGCCCCACTCGAGGGGACAGAGTCCATCCTTTCACACCCACCTCACTTCCTGATGTGACAACAGAGACTGCTGCAAAAGTCATAAGATGGCCTATAAGATGTCACCTGACCTTTATCCTCTAGAAGTGATTTCTGAACAAACGTTTTCTTTGGTGTAGTCCTTGAAAAGCTCAAAAATATCCCGCCAGTTTGTATCCTTGTCTTTGCGAGATATTTCCAAACTCGGCGACTTATGTGGTCATGTGTGCTCATTGGCAATGCAGTTGTGTGCGTGGGCATGTGACGGGGTAAACCCACAATCCAGATATGCGGCTCGGGTATGGCCCATATTCCTTTTTTCAGGGGTGGCCGTGGTTGACTGAAAATGAAGCAGGTGCAGCCACATCCTCACTCGGACAGTGGGACAGGCTGTGGGTACAGCCACGCGCCTCACCCAGACAGCATGACAAACTGTGGGTACGGCCACGCGACGGACAGTGGCTGCAGCGTGATGCATGGCAGATCAGGATGTGGGAGGAGGAAGCGGAAGGATAGCTCCCAGACTGTGTGTGGCCACCTGGTCCTGATGTGTCTGTCACCTTGTTCTTTCTGCTTCTTCATTTTCTGTTTCCTTCAGAAATCTGTTTTCTTCATAATCTCATGCCAGGCCTCCTCCTTGCATGTTTTTCACTGCTGCCCTCCCCTCCCCGCAGTTCCCTGGGTCTGGGGTACAGGGCTGCTCTTGACTTTAAAAGAGCAGATTTCAGGCACTAGTTTGAGATGCTTACGACTGGGGCTGTGATCATTCACAAGGAGCTGGGCTTCTCTTTGAGAATAGTGCTCTTAAGTCATGGATTCCTCTTTCTTCGAGAACCAAGTGCTCTGCCAGGCCACGGTCCTGTCCAGGGCCAGGTAGGTCAGCAGGCAGCAGGTCTGCCCTGAATCCAGTCACAGAGTCAAGCGTTCTGTGAATCTCTGGGTGATGTCAGCATTTCAGGTCTATCCAATATGGTATTTTTGGTTTTAAGATCATATCCTGCAGTGCTCAGGGTTTCCTCCTGCTTCTATGCTCAGGGATCACTCCTAGAGGGCTCAGGGGACCAGATGGGGTGCCAGGAATGAAACCCAGGTCAGATGCATGAAGACAAACACACCCCACCCCAGACCCCATTGTACTCTTGCTCCAGCAGCCCCATCTTTGATTTTTATTTGTTTGGGGTCAGGGTTTTTATTTTCAGGTGACAAGAATAGAGGCCGTGGAAACTGGTCTTCATTGTCCTCATTCCGGAGGGTAGGGCTGCCTGGATGTCAATGTCTGAGGGATGAGACTTCTATGACCCTCCTATGACTTTGGTGGCGTTAGGGACATGGTGACCGTTCCTTGCCCAGCCAGAAATGCGTTGGCTCAGCCCCAGCACACAGCTGGACGGAGGGTGTGCCCCACCCCTGGAGTCGGAGACTGACATTGAATTCATGTCAAGTCTTTGCGGCTGCTGGGTCACTGCCTTAGTAAACACGAACGGATACCTAAAAGGTATTTTTCAGAGGCACCTTGTCGGTCTTTACATTCAAGACTACTGACACCCCATTTTCCATCCTTTGCAGGTACGCGGTTTTGTGTGGCCATGTGTCCGAGTTCGAGGGTTTGCAAAACAAAATCAACTATGGACACTGCTTCAAGGTATCTCTTGAGGGACCAGAGAGAGAGCACAGAGGGCTAAGGCACTTATCATTTGTGTGGCCAGCCTGGGTTTGATCCCCAGCAACACATAACAGTCCCTCGAGTCCCACCAGGAGTAACTCTTGAGCACAGAACCAGGAGGAGGCCCTGAGCACCGCCAGGTGTGGCCCAAAAAACAAATAATAATAATAATGTGACCAAAAAGTCTGTAAGTGGTTGAAGATTATTGTTCCTCCCCCCCCAAAAAAAAGAGGCTGCCTCATGAATGAGTCATATTCTTTCAAAGATTGAGGACCAGTCTGTTTTGTCCTGAGCTCCCCAAACTTGGCTTCGGGTGACAGTTCCCCCTGAGGGGCCACCAGGGACATGGCAAGTTCTTGGCTTTCCAGTGCTAGAACCATTTTGACAGTCTGGAAGAAACTGGCTCCAGCATCTGGTGCTCTCCTGTGCTCTGTGGGCCTCTGCCTCTGGGGTCTGTGAGCCTCAGGGCAAGGCCCCAGGGCTGCTCTGGTAGCATACTCATCTCAGATGTCTCCTCTTCCTGTGACCCTAGTCCTTCTCCTTCCACACGACACCCAGGGAAACGCGGCTCTTCTGGCTGTGAGTCCCCTCCACGGGCGGCTGACAGGTCGGTGCAGAGGATGGGGTGGAGCAGGGCAGCAGGGAGACACCGGCAGGACCCCAGGGTGTATCAGAGGCACCTCCGTGCCGCCCAGCTCCTAAAGCCCTGCTTTCTCTCTGATTGTCTTTCAGAAACATCTAGATAAAGCAATCGAGTTCTTACCTGAAGAGCCCTATTTGTATTACCTCAGAGGAAGGTACTGCTACGCTGTAAGTTGCGAACTGTTACCGGGAACTTTCTAGATGGTACACAGATCTGCTGCACCTGCCCATGGACTCACGCATGTGCGCTAGTACATAAAGTGACGCAGGGACATGGGTGCTCCTGGGTGGGCCCTGTCTGAGCCCAACATTCTCTCTCTGTGCCTTAGCTAGAGTGAGGCTCCGCTGTGGTGGTTTCTCTCTCACTGTGTTGGCTATTATATGATTCCCCTGTGGTGTTTCTCTCACTGTGTTGACTATTGTGAGGCTCCCCTGTGGTGTTTTGTCTCTCGATGTGTTGGCTATTGTGAGTTTCCCCTGGGGTGTTTCTCTTTCACTACTTGCTCTCTCTCTTCTGTGCTACAGACACCACGTGATCAAAGACACACACACATGTATATGCATACACCATGTGCATAATCACATGTGAGCAGGCATGTGTGCACACATATGAGCATAGATACACATATGTGGGCACCCACATGCACATGTGGACATGTGCAAACACATGCTCAGACTCACAGATGTGCAGGTTCACGTACACCAGCTCATGCACCAAGTGTGTGTGTGTGTGTGTGTGTGTGTGTGTGTATGTGTATTCTCAGACACTGGGCCCTGTACAAGGCAGGATATGCTGCTTTCCTCCTGTGGGACTTGTTTCCAGCATCTATGGCTGGACGTCAGCCATGTGCTCCTGTGTTCAAGGCCCATCGTTAGACGGGGCCGTGAGCTTGCAGTCAGGCAGCGGTTAGCTCCAGAGTCTGACAGGAATCGGTTTCTGAGAATGGCACAGGATGTGAGCACAGAGCTATGAGGGTCATGGATGAATCACCATGAAGAGAAAGGCTGTTGCTGGGTGACTCCACCGTGCTCCATGGAGCAGGCTTCTTCCTTGAGGCTTTAGAAGACGGTGAGGGGTGGAGATGGCTGTGTCCCTCAGACCCCACCGGGGCCTGGTGCATCTTGTCCTCAGACATCCTGCCCCACTGATCGCGCCAGTGCCTGTCCCGGCTTTGGGTCAGGCCTGAACAGGCACGATTTAGTCTGGGCGCAAAGCCCCAAGCAGGAAATGGTTGTTTCAGATGGAAACGATCTTCTGGCCCTTCTGCTCTTTCTTCCTGGAGGGCAAGAGCCAGGGACAGCAGGGTCTAGGCCTGCAGGCAGCAAACACACGGGAGAGAAGAGAAGGCCCCCACCTGGCACCTGCACAGAAGGCCGGGGAGGTGTCTGGGGCTGTGCTCTCGGAATGCAGCATGGGGGCCCGGATGCCACAGACACTGCACATGTAGTGTTGCACACACAAGGACACTCACACACAGATGCTCACTCAAATTCATGATCACATATACAAACACATATACTCACACTCATTCATACACTAAAACACACGTATGTACACTCACTCAAATACACACACATTCACTCACATACACTCTTGATTCACATATACATACTCACACATCTATACACTCAACCAAATACACAATCGCATACCCAAATCCACTCACGTTTACTCATACGTGTAAAGGGTATGAGGGTCATGGTACACACACAGACACCCACACCGAAGCGAGCAAGTGAGCGGCTTTCCACAGCGCCTGTGCCATCCCCGCAGGTGTCGAGTCTGAGCTGGATCGAGAAGAGAATGGCCGCCACTCTGTTCGGGATAGTGCCGACCTCAACCATCATGGAGGCGCTGCAAGATTTCCTGAAGGTACTGTTGTCTGTGCACTGCCTTGGTATCATCCTGTCCCTCCCACCTCTCTGGCCCAAGGACGCTCAGTCTCTGACCGAGTCCCCTTTTCAAGAAGTCCAGGCACCCTCTGTTGGAGTCATGTCTGAAAACCAAACTGTGACCTGGAACAGTAGTGCCACTGGGCCAACTCCCTACCGAGTGCTCCAGTGCTCTGGAGAGACAGTGTGATCTGAGGGTCAGTGGTGGGCAGGAGCGAAGGGAGGGTGCTGAGTCTGTGGAGTGGCCCAGAGCATCTCCCTGGTGGCCCAGGTCACACCAGATCACCCAGTCCTCACAGATCAGCTCACGTGCCCGAGGGAGCTGGCGCTGCTGCTGGTTGTACTGAGATCACAGCGCAGTACAGTCCAATCTGGTTCCTGGATTAGATGCCCTTTCCTGGCTATTGTGGTTTTAACCCTTCTCTCTTCTCTTTTTCTCATAAAATCAGGCTGAAGAACTAAAACCTGGTTTTTCTAAGTACAATTACGTGTTCTTGGCCAAGGTAACCGCACCACTGTTCCGAGGTCCCTTTGTGCCGATGACACGAGCCAGGCTGGCCTTTAACGTGGGGCCTGTTCCCTTCCTAGTGTTACATGGATCTCGAGAGCATACCTGAAGCTCTGAAGTTCTGTGAACAGGCGCTGTTGCTCCCTTGTGTGAGCAGAGAGGTGAGTTGAGGCTTCTGCACGTGCTACCCAGGTCTCAGTGGGAGCCACTGTCTTGACTGAATCTGGAACTTGGTTCTAGGAGAGTGTTTTTTAACTCAGCAGCACTGGCTGCTGCCAACCCGTAGGTCTTGTGTGTGTGTTATTCTCCACCCACATGGGTCTAAGCCACATCAAGCTTTCATCCTGTCTGCCATGCGACCTTTGACCCTGTGCCCCAGTTCCCACCCCCTCGCCCCTTTTCTTCATATAGCCTCAACTTTGGTCTTAGCGTGTGCCTGAAACTCTTTTTTTTAGTATGTTGTGTTCTTTGGTCTAATTTCTTTTGGGGGACTGGGGGGGGGGGGTGGAATTGGGCCACACCCATCAATGCTCAGGGCTTATCCCAGCTCTGCACCCGGGAATCACTCCTGGCAGTGCTCGAGAGACCTTATGGGCTGCGGGGGTTCCAGTCCTGGTCAGCCAAGTGCAAGACAGGTGCCCTCCCCGCTGCACTGTCCCTCCAGCCCTGCTCTCACTCCTTGGCATCCTTCATGAGGATGAAGTTCATCGCTCTCCGTCCAGCTCCTCTCACTGAGCAGGGCCTCGCCAGGTTCCGCCCAGGCTATGGCTGGTACGAGGGCACTTCCTTCCTTCAGCGAGCTCCCCCGGTATCTGTCGGCCACGTGTCCTTTGCCCACCATCACTGGACGCTCGGGTTTCCAAATCTTGGCTGTTGTCAGTAGCGCCATAGCGAATGTGCGTTTTTTTACATTCCCATTTTCCCATCTTCCAGATCACTACCTGGGGTAGAATTGCTGGGCCCTAGAGTAACCCTCCCTAAGTATTGAGACCTCTCCTCTCTGCCTCCCATCGAGGCCGCACCAGCTTGCATTACTCCTCTCCCCACAGCCACCCGGTCTCCCTCGGCTCAGGGGTAGCTTGTCCTTGTCATGTGTGTCTTCCCACTAGAGGGCCATGGGCATCTTTCCGTGCCCATCTCGGCTCTCAGGCATCCTGGAAGAAGTGTGTCTCGCTCCTCAGTTACTCGCGGTGGAGTTTTCTGGTTGGTTTCGTTGTTGAGCTGTGCAGTCATTTTAAATACAAGTGGCTGTATATCCTTTTAGAATATGAGATTGGAGCAGACCATGAGATCAAGTAGTTCCCTGCTGCGGACACAGGTGACAGGGGAGCTGGGCAACCTGTGGGTTAAACTAGAGTATGACGAGTTCTCACATCTGGCTTGACATGCAGATGTTCAGGCATGAAGATGGCTGCACATCAGGGACCCTCAGGGTGTGGTTCTAGCCCCTCAACCTCGGCTATCCCCAGCTCCACCCTGTCTCTCGCAGTGGCCCATCTGCCCACCCAGGTTCCTTCCATGTCCCGGTCAGTGCTCTGCCTGGCAGAGAGCCTTTCCCCAAAGGGCATCCTCTTCCGCCCCTGCCGTCCCCCAACCACCTGGATTCCATCCAGAATCCCTCTTCTGAAGCTGTTCATGCCCCTGCAGCCAACGCAGAGCTGCCCCCTTCCTTCCGTTCTGGCTCCGTAAGAGAGGCACATATGCACACATGCATACAGGTGTATATGGACGCAAATGGCGTGCTTGAACTCACACAAGGACAAATGCACATACATGTGTGCTTCATATAGACCAGTGTATACGTGTGGGTAAGAGATGTGCGCACATATCCACACGTGCACACTGTGTTCATACAGAAAGGTATACACGTGTACATAAGAGATGAGCACACATGCATTCGCATGAGTGCCACTTCGTACATAGACAGAGACATATGCGCATGTGCATACACCCATGGACCTATATGTGTATATGCATGCAGAGATGTGCATGACATAGGTGTACTTAGATGTACATGCATACACATAGGCACATGCACACAGATCATGTGTATACATGCAGACCGAGGGGCATATGCATGCATAGAGAGGCACTTGTGCACACATGCCTTGTGCGTAAATGTACAGAGATGTGTATGCATGAACGCACACACAGTTGCACACACAGGTAGGACTTGGGGAGGAGGCGGGGGTGGGAAGGTGGTGCTGGCTCTCAGATTGAGGCGGCCATGAAGAAATTCTTGGCAGTGCATGAGTACAGATACTGCTAAGCTGTGATCTTAAATTTAAATCTTTCATTACAGCTTGTACATACTGAAATCATTTCCTGTCTGTGCATTCTTCTGCGAGAGATGGATTTTAGATAAGGGAGCCTCACTGAGCCAGCCTGAGGCTGACAAAAAGAGACATAAATTTAGACTTTTATGTAAGAGCTTTCAAAAACCACATTAATATCAGAGATTCATTCATCTTCCTTTCTCACAGCCATCAACAGTTGGGTTGGTAGGCCAGGGAGCTAGTGGCGGGTCCCCTGGGCCCTGCTTAGCTCTACTGACATGGCTTCCTCAGCCCCAGCACTGAACTGCCAGCCCGGTTGCCACGGGCACTGTCTTCACTGCTTGGAAGTGCCGGGCAGCCCAGAGAGGTTGGCTTCTGGTGGCTGGGCACTGCCGTAGCAGCAGTGTGGCGATACTTAGGATTAAAACTGGAAAAAAGTTTCATTTGGGTTTTAGGCTGCATCTGACAGTGCTCACGGATGGCTCCTGGCAGTGCTCAGGGGAGCCTGTGGCCATGGGACGTAGCCCAGGCCTCCTGCGCCGAGCCCCGGGCAGCCCATCTGCCGAGCCTGCCATCAGTTCTGCCTTTCAAGCCCCCAGTTTTGTTTTTTAATCTAGCAAGCAACTACTTCCAAAAACATACTTTGTCCAGTTCCCCTCATCTGTTTATTTTTAATTTCTGAAATCCTTTCAGATGGACCCTAAGTAAATGTTCGCTAACCTTTGCGTAGGACTGCCTGTCCACTGGGTTTATTTCCACTCTTTCTAACCCCATCCTTGTTTAGAGGACATTAGCGTGAGAAGACCCGGGCCTCTCTCAGGTCTGTGCTGAGGCAAAGCCAGTGAGCGACAAACTGACAGGAGCCTGCAGAAACTCACAACAAATGAGCTTGTCGGGGTGGGGGTGCATGGGGCGGCTAGAGGGGGTGGTGTGGGGGGCTGGAGGGGTTGGGGCGGGGGCATCTGGGGAGCTGGAGAGCGGCTGCTGGAGGGGTAGGGGTGAGGACTTCGGGGGGGTGCAGTTGTTGGGGGTGAGGGGAGGGGGGTGGGTAGCACCAGTATCTGAGGGCTGATGTGATGAGCGTCTGTCTGTCCGGGGAGAAGCTGAAATGAAAATGAAAGGAAGAGCAGTGCGGGCAGCAGTGTCCCGGCCCAGACTGGCCCTCGGTCACTGGCCAGACACCTCTCCCCCCGCCCCCGCCGCAAAACCCTCGGAGGTGTCTGCTCCTGCTCAGGACCCCACAGTGCCGCACGTGCCAGACCCCCTGCCTGGTGCTCCCTGCACACCTGCTCACTGAGGAGGGGCGTGGGGTCCAGTAGTCAGCCCCCCTGCAAGAACCCCTCCTTCCTGCCCCCCGCTGCAGACCCAGTGGCGGCCTGCACCCCACCTCTCTGCAGTGCTCTTCCCATGGCCCAGGGCCTGGGGCTTGCTCACCTGTCCTCTCTGTCTCCGTGCAGGATGAAGAAGCAGGGTCGCAGGCACAAGCCATGCTACACTCTTTATTAAAGAGGTAAATACCAACTTGACTCTCCAGCCAGTCCGAGGTGGTCCTGCTGTGCCCAAGAAGTGGCCTCGGGGCCTGAGCCCAGGGTCCGCATGTGCGTGCGGGACCCCCGGTTCAAGCCCTGGCACCGCCCACTCTACCCCAGCACTGTCAGGTGCCACCCCTCAGCACTGAGCCCCACTGGGTGTGGCCCCAAAACCAAACTTACAAAATCAAAAACCAAAAAAAAGAACAGAAGCCAACAGCTGTTGTCGACCGACACTGGCCAGGGCCGTGATCTTCGTCGACCTTCCCCGTGCTCGCTCCAAGGGTGGCGGGCTCAGACCTGAAAGGAAAATGTTCCTCTGGGGTGCAACCCATTCGCACGGGTCACAGTGAATCACGGTCCCCGAAAGCTAGCTGCTACCATGTCAGTACAAAACGATCTTTAAGTATGTACGCTTTGTATTTTTCCTGTCAGTAACTAGCATTTGGACTATTTCTGAAAATAAATTATGAAACCAATGTCATACAATTCGCTCTGCTGCTTCAGTGAGAACTTTCCAGATCAAAGAATCCCCTCGATGTGAATGCAAAACGGGAAAAAGGCCATGAAGGAGTTGCTGGCAGGAGAACACCAGACATGACCGCCGTTGGGGGAGGAGTACTGTGCTAAAACACTGAATCACCAGAGCAGCCTCGGGTCGTTTTCTTGCCACTCGGTGCAGGGCGTTCTCAACACGGCTGCTGGGAAGGCTTTCCTGCACCAATATTCGCTCAGATTGCAGAATGCACTAGCTCTCTAACACGGGGTGCATTTAGCTGGACCCCACTTCATCTCCTTATTTGAGGGAGCAGCAGGGATGGTCACTCCCACCAACTAGGCACCTCGCCACCAGCCCCCATCCAGGGACAGCCCTTCCCCCACCCTCTGTGCACCCGGACCACTGGGAAACTGAGTAAGGTGCCCCGAGACCACCCCACAGGCCCTGCAGCCCCCACCGAACCACAGGGCAAACCCGACAGCCCTGGGCCAGCTCTGACTGAGGCAGAGCAGGCGCCCAGAGCCCCACAGGTTTGCACTCAGGAGGCCCCCACACAGAGGCAAGCGTTCTGCCCTGAGCCAGCACCCACCCCCGGGCTCCCTGGCAGGACTGGGGCACAGCGGGGCTCCCTGGCATGGCAGTTACAGGGTGGAACTGGAATTCTGTGTGGGGGCGTGTCGGTGCAGATGTGTTACAACCAGCAGGGGGCGCCCGCGTACTGCAGCGCCCTGAAGGGCACTGGCCCTCCCTGCCCTGTCCCCTTCCCCTGCATCCCTCACAGCGATGGCCCAAAGGGGCTGTCCTGTCAGCAGGGAGAGGGATGGACACAGAGGAGACAGCAGCCTCACAAGGGCCCCACAGGAGTCAGGGAGAGGTGACTCCGATGGGGACCTGTGGGGGGCCCTTGGCAGGGAGCCTTGGAGGCCCCTGGCATAGACCGTCAGGCCCCCTGCCCCCTGGGAAAGGACTGGGCCCCCCAGGTCTGAGCTTCCTAACCCGTGGGCTCCATCACACCCACGCCACGCCCATCTCGGGCTGCCCTCATCGGCGACCTCCCATCAGCACAGAACTGGACTCAGCGGAAGCATGGCCTGGGCATAACCTGGGCACCGCCCAGTCCTGCCATCTGTGAGAGCGGTCCCACCCCCGGAAGCAAGCATCTCACTAGCCAGGTTCCCTGACACGGGGTGGCAGCAGCAGCAATGACACCTCGGTACATGTCCCAACAGCACCCCAACGAATGCTGTGACCAACGCAGAAAGGGGCCTGTGTCCACACACACAAAGGAGTCCAAAGTTCTGGGCAGCGCTCTGCGGGGGTGCCCCATGGTTCCTGGTCGACACCCAATGGTGGAGTTCCTATCTTCAGGCCACCGACTGTGCAGACACGAGACGGCCCCACTCAGCTCCATCTCTCGTGCTGAATTTGATGCTGTTTACATTAATGCAGCAAAGACACCAGCAGTGTGGCAGGAAGCTGAGCACGAGGGTCAGCTGAGGACAGTGAGCAGCCTGGGGCACAGGCAGGGGAGCTTTTGTCCACGCAGCACCCGTCCACACAGCACCCATCCATGCAGCACCTGCCCATATGGCACCCATCCACACAGCACCCATCCACCCTTTACTGGCCCAAACAAAGCCCATCTCCACAGAGCCCATCTATGTGGCACAACATCCATCCAGGACTCCAGACACCCTCTGGACGGGACAGGCAGACGGCTAAGCTGCTACGGCACAAAGGAAAGCACCTCAACAAGAAAGACTGTGAACGTGATTTTGGTGTTGTGGTGACGGTGCCATGTGGTTGCTCCTTCCAGGACACCTGTGTTTGGTCTCGTAAGAGCCGCACACTGGTCACATCGGCGCCGTGTGCAACCACCGCAGCCATGTACTCAGGAGAAGCGCAAATGCCGGGAAAGGATTAAGGAAGCAGCTGTCCCAGCCAGTGGCATCCTGGAAGAATCCCTTCCCTCCCCCACCCACTCCAAGGGTGACAGAACCAGTGACCTGCAACACAGCACAGGCTGCGCCAACACTTCACAGAACAAAGCTCTGTCCTGAGACACGACACTGGGAAACACACAAACACACCTGAAGCAGCTCTTCTTTTGGCTTGGGGTGTGGAAAGTGGCTTATTTGAGAGCTTCACGGAATCAGAGCAACTTTGGTGACCCAGATGCCATCCCTAGAGGCCGTGGCCTTCACGCGGCCGGTGAATCCACTCACACGGGGAGAAACGGAGAGAGGTTTCCTGACAAAGCCTCCAACCTGTCTCCTACAGCCTCCAGTGGGGTTTCTATTTGGTTTGGGTCTTGTCTTCCTTTCAGGAGGCGATGGACACCAGACCCCCTCCCCAGAGCCCAGCTCTCTCCGCTCCACGAAAAGCGTCAGCACCACCTCCATTTGTCTGTACCTTAGACACAGCACATCTGGAGCTGGGGGACGCAGACCGAGCTCAACACATCTGGAGCTAGCTGACTTGGCGAGACGTCCAAATTGGAGCTGCCACACAGCTGCCAGCCAGCCAGCCAGCCAGCCACGGCGGGTGGCCTCCCACACAGCGGCCAGTCAGGCGGCCACGGAGGGCTGGGCAGCCTCCCCGCTACTGGGCAGGAGGGGCAGAGGTGGGCCGTAATGTCTGGAATAGCCACAACCAAAAAAAAAATAGAATCTGGGCTGCCTGGAGTCTGTGGTGGACTCAGAACCTTTCAAAACTACTGACCCAGATTTTCATTTTCAGAAGGGGCAGATATCTGTGGGCTGGAGCAATAGGACAGTGAGGATGGCACTTGCTTTGCACGCGGCTGACCTGGGTTCAATCCCCAGCATCCCATATAGTTCCCAGAGCACCACTAGCAGTGGTCCCTGAGTGTAGAGCCAGGAGTAGCCCCTGATCACTGCCGGGTGTGGCCCCAAAGCAAAAACAAAAATGGGGGTGGGTGGGGGAGAAATCAGGTTTAATTTATTAAAATTAAATGAAAAACATGCAAATTATTGTGGGGGCACACCCAGCCATGTTGTGGCAGGGGGTGGGCATGCTGGGAGAATCAAACCCCTTGTGTCCCATCCCCAGTCCTAAATGAAAGTATTATGAAGAAAGAGGTGGGGGGAATCCCAAATTTTAAAACATCTGCTGTGTTGCTGGGTTGTTTTTTAACATTTACTTGGAGTCAGCACAGGCATCTGAAGTGACTTTTCTTTGTATTGGTAATGCAGTTTTGTCTACAAATGAGTGAATGCAGAACACAGGAGGAACTATTTAACCATCTTCCTTCCCATGCGCTGTGTCGCTGCTTCCTGTCCCCACCCCACACATGGCCATCATCCACTCCCGTCTCACCCCCTGGACAAGGAGAGCCCCGGTGCTGAATAAGACGCCGCCAGCGGGGCTGGAGCGATTGCACAGCGGGTAGGGTGTCTGCCTTGCACACTGCTGAACGGGATTTGATTCCCAGCATCTCGTATGGTCCCGTGAGCACTGCCAGGAGTAATTCCTGAGTGAGTGAGTAATTCCAGGAGTGACCCGTGAGCATTGCTGGGTGTGATCCAAAAAGAAAAAAAAAAAAAGATTGCCAGCGCTCACAGCCCTGCCTGCAGGTTACATGCTCTGAAAATCAGAGCTGCACAGCGGCCTTCCGCCAGATGCCCAGCCCATCTTTAAGGTTTCCAGTTTCTTTACATCAGCTGCACAGACTGTGGCTCCTGTTCCCTGTCTTCAGTCCATCTGATCAACTCCAGGAACTTATCAGCCCTGAGTCCCAAAATCAGACATGCACGCTGCTTTAAAACAATCACACAGCTTGGAGACAAGCCGCAGTCGTTGCAAAGCCCGAGCCACGCTCTGAACCACCCTGGAGCCATAGCCTAGAGCGCACAGCCACATAACGGGCACTGGCAGCCCAGGACAAGCACAGCAAATTAGACGGGAAGTCGTGTAGAAGCCACTAAGCCCAGGGAGGGAGAGAAAACAATAGCACAGAAGGCTCAGCCAGGCAAACCTGCGGACAAAAGCTTCCATAACACCACTCTCAGCTAGATGTTGTAGCAAGCGATAGAGAATAAATTATTTTGTGCCCGCTAAGGAGGCGGGCCGGGGGCTGGGGTGGCTCATGGGGACGTCGGTGGCGGGAAGGTCGCGCTGGTGGTGGGATTGTGTTGGAAATCGAATCCCTGAAAGGACTCTATTAGGAATGACTTTGTCAGTCACAGTGTTTAAATAAAGTTTCAAATGAGAAAAAAATGTCTAGAATGATCTGAGAGAAGTAGGCCGGTCACAACTGCCCCCCCCCACCCGACCTCCTGCTTTCCTGACTAGCAGAACAACAAGCCAATTCTCAGTTTCCCCTGTCCTCACTGCCTGCGGTGAGAACTCCAGCTTCAAGATGGCTTTAAGATGAAATGCAAGCACCAGGAGGCCATGAATTTTCACACAGGAACCAGACCTGTTGCAAAAAGAGAGACTGTATTGTGATCTGACTTTAATAAAGATATTGGAGGTGACGAAAGGGCCTCTTACAAATGCAACTGGAGATTTTTCAGTCTCATGCAAGTTTTGGATGAAAACTTCATTTCCCATGATGTCAAAGAGGCAAACGGTTTCAACAAGTTCACTTCATGTATTTGACCCAAAATTGATTAAATTGATTCTACTTTTCTATTTGCTAGAATAATTACATTTTTAACTTGTTCTTGATCAACATAATGAATACTGATTAAAAAATTATTAACATGTGGTGCTTGTGAATAATTGTAAAATATATGCATACATATTGAATACTATTAGGTGATTTTTTCTAGCCTTATAAACTTACTTAAATCACTGCATTTTTATCACATAATTGAAAGCTTAGCTGGAAATTTTTTCTTTTTTTTTTTTTTTTTGCTCGTAACCAAAATTCTGTATTTGCCAACCAGGGGAGTTATGTTTCATCTTTCGAGACCTAATTCAACAATTCCAACCTTAAAAATCCACCAAAATCCAAGATATTCACTAAACTGACGACTCCTGGTTTGTTTTTTTGGTTTTTTTTTGGGTTTTTTTGGTTTTGTTTTTTTTTTTGCTTTTTTGGGTCACACCTGGTGATGCACAGGGGTTACTCCTGGCTCTGCACTCAGGAATTACTCCTGGCGGTGCTCAGGGGACCATATGGGATGCTGGGAATCGAACCCAGATCGGCCACGTGCAAGGCAAGCGCCCTACCGGCTGTGCTATTGCTCCAGCCCCTCCTGGTTTCTTTTTGAGCTAATGACTCCTCCAAAAAAGAAAAGGCACAGGGCTGGAGTGACAGTACACTACAGCAGCCTTGCACATGGCTGACCCAGATTCAATCCCCGGCACCACCTAAGGTCCCCCGAGGCGCAGAGCCAGGAGCACTGCTGGGTGTAACCCCAAATCAAAAACACATAGAAAAAGTACAACCCGGGGCAAAAAGGTGAGTCCATCGGGTACCTAAGCCTCATGAGTCCTTCTAGTAACAGGCGAGAAGAGTGCTTCTGGGCCTTTCCGGCATCTCATGTCCTGCAGGCACGAGCTCCTTGACCTCCAAGCTCGGAAACTCAGCTTCACCTGGTTCCCCGGGGCATGTCACCCTCGGTTCCCCCCACCACCACAGAGGCACAGGCTGGCGTGGGGGTAGGTGGGGGCGGCACCCAGGTGTCTTAACCTCCAGACAGTCCTCCCTCAAATCCTGGGGAGCAAAGATAGCTCAGGGTGGGGGCGCAAGCCTGGCACAGCACAAGGACCCAGCACCAAGTGGTCCCCCCATACCATGGTATGACCCCGGAAGTCCCCAGGGCTGAAGCACATCAGCATATTGAGCTGCACAGGAGTGTGGGTGGCCGAGAACTACCAGGAGTGGCCCTGGCCCCCGGGCACTGCCTCGGAGCCCCCCTAAAAAACAAACACAAGCAATGCTTCCAATCCCCCTACCGCTGATTGGGGCTCGCTCTGAGCGCAGGGTGGGGACCACTCAGGGGGCGGGGAGGAGGCACCTTAGTGCCCTGAGCACTGAGCCACAGCTAGAAAGCCCCGGAGCTGCTCCCCGGCACCCCGGCCGGTAGGCTCTGGGCGGCCTGGTCCAGCAGCTGCATGGAGCCCCGCAGCGACGCGTGCACCTGAAAGGCCTGCGGCTTGATGGTCAGGCCATAGTCGAAGTGGACCTCACGCTGCTGGGGGTGGCCGCAGAAGTGACACTGGTGCGCCAGGACGGCCGTGAAGAGGAACAACTGCAGCCTGGACAGCTCCTCCCCGATGCAGCGCCGCCGGCCCAGCGAGAAGGCCATCACGCGGCTGGCCAGGTCACTGTCCAGCTGGCCACTGGCATCCAGAAAGCGCGCGGGGTCAAAGTGCTTGGGATCGCGCCACTGGGTGGGGTCGTGATTCACCGACCACTGGTTGATGAAGACCACCGTGTCCTTGGGGATGTGGTAGCCCAGGACGGAGGTGCTGGCCCGGGTGGCATGAGGGATGGTCACGGGCATGAAGCTGGAGAAGCGCATGGCCTCGTAGACAAAAGCCATCACGTAGGGCAGGCGGGGCTGGTCGGCCAGGCAGGGCAGGCGCCCTCTGCCCACCACGCTGTCCACCTCGGCCTGGACCCGAGCCTGCTCTGCAGGGTACCTGTGTGGGGGAACAGAGAGAGGCAATGAGTGCGGCAAACCCGCCCCCTTCTATGGCAAATTTCCACGATCACGATCATCCTGTTGTTCGTCGATTGCCTCGAGCAGGCCCCAGTAATGTCTATTCGTCCTAGCCCTGAGATTTCAAAAAATGCCATATTCAAGGCTCTTTCAGGATTAGGAGAATGAGACCCATCATTGTTACTGGTATTTGGCATATTGGATACGCCACGGGAAGTTTGCCAGACTCTGACGTGTGGGCAGGTTACATTCAGTAGCCTGCCAGTTTGTCCAAAGTAAGAATGAGATAATAAGATGTCCTGCGGCCGCGAATGTGGCTGCGAGCTTCTGGGAGCTGGGTTTTATAGTCTCTGGGTCTTGGCCATTGATGGGATTACACGGCGCCAGGGGGCCAGTTGGTGGGTGTGACCCCCACCTACTGGAATTTGGAGGATCTGGGTGGAGGATGCTCAGCCCCAATCTGAGCAGGCTTGGAAATCTCAGCCCCAGGACCCGCATCCCTTTGTTCCTCTGCCGGTACCTTCATGCGTGTGGAGAGTGGTCTCAGCATGGTGGTGGCTGGTTCTGGAGGTCTTCGGCTGCCAGAGCTCTGATCGAGGCAGGGAGGGAAACTCAACCCGCCCCCCTCCAAGGGGCCCTGGTGAGGACAGCCAGGCGTGGGGGCAGGAGATTCTGCGCTGATCTCCAAGCCTGCTCGGATCGAGGCTGAGCATCCTCCACCCAGATCCTCCATCTTCCAGTAGGCTGGGGTCACACCCACCAACTGCTGCCTTCCCCCCCCCCCCCCCCCGCGTCCCTCTGTGCCATGTAATCCCATCAACGGCCAAGACCCAGAGACTATAAAACCCAGCTCCCTGAAGAGAACAGCGAATTTCCATCTTTCTAGAAAACTCTCTTGAGGGCCGAAGCCATAGGCCACCTGAGTCCCACCTGGGGCTGATCCCCAGCACCCCAAGGGTCCCCCAGCATGGCGGGGAATAAGACCCAAGCACCACCAGGAGTGACCCAAAACCAAATAAAATAGGAAACCCTTCGTTGGCCCTAGTTCCCAAGACAAAACCAGTGTTGGATTTTTTTCTTGATGATTTTGTATTGTCGCACATTCGTTTATTTTCTCTCGAGGCCACCCGGGTGAAACTGAACCTCTTTGTCTCTGTAGCTGTCCCATTTCACCCCGAATGCTGCCCTCTCGGATGTTCCATTTGCCGCAAACGCAGGATTTATCTTCCTTCATACCCCGTGGCCTCCCGTTGCTGACAGATATCTTTCAGTCTGTTTAAGCTCTGGATTCCATTAGCATCTCACCCCAGGTCTTGCCCAAAATGAAGCCGAGCTTCCTGAGTATCGGCCTGTAAGGAAGGCTACATGCTTCAAGTTTTCTTCTGCTCCGAAGTCGATACAGTCCAATTTTCTCAGCAGAAACAGCAGAGGAGGGAAGGACAACTGCCCCATGTCAACAGCCCCCAAGCACCAGGGCTGGACCCACAAAACATGTTTTCCTTTCTCCAAAGTCAAAAGCTAAAAGGGAACTTTCATGCCAAATAAATGTTTTAGTCTAATTTTAATACATTCGCTTTTTATAGCAGTGTTGTCACAGAATGTACTTACAATGTTTTCTTTGAAGTCAAGTTTCTGGAAGGAGGCTTCCCCCAGCCCCTGGACACTCGGTGCTACAGAGAGAACCAGTGTCTGGTCATCAAAGCCACCTACATCCTGACACGTAGGAGGTAAGGTAAAGGTAAAGGCCCTCCCGTTGTTTGTCGATTTGCTCGAGCGGGCCCAGTAACGTCTCCATTGGAGACTTTGTTGTTACTGTGTCTGGCATATCGAATACGTCATGGGGAACTTGCCAGGCTCCGCCGTGTGGGCGAGATACTCTCGGTAGCTTGCCAGGCTCTCCGAGAGGGGCGGAGGAATCGAACTCGGGTCGGCCATGTTGGCTGCGTGCAAGGCAAACGCCCTACCGCTGTGCTATCGCTCCAGCCCGACACACGTAGGGACATGTAGGAGACTACCATAAATGGCAGATCAATTCCTTTTGCTGCATTGTAAGCTCACACATTTGTTTGAAAAGACAAAAATTAAAATCTTTACACAAAGCAAGATCCATCTATCCTTGCAAGGTCTAGAAGTATATTTTCAAGAAAAAATGGTTCAAATCAACGGTGTTAAAATTTAAAAAACATATATCATGGATCAGAAGACACATTCCTGGAGAAATAGTCTGTGAGCCAGCCAAAATCACTAAGACAAAGTTGAAAACACGGTGAATGCACACTGCAGTGTGCTAAAATGTCAAAGGTAAAATAAAATACATATATGATTATTATAATTCAGGGTGGCGGAGGGCTAGGGATCTCAAGCATGTATGCGATGGCGTTTGGGGTGGTTCTGAACATTGCTTATCGTCACACTGCAAGGACCTGCAAACTTCCCAAAAAGGCTCAGATGGTCAAAACGTTCAGGTCTTTGGAATCAAACCTTTTCCTTTGCCACCATTCCATTCATGCCGCACTCAAAAAGCCCAAGAGATGCAGGCGTGGACTTTTCCCGCCTCCCCCGAATTCCCGGCCCCCACGCTACCCTTCGGATTTCTGGCTCTGGAAGAAGACAAGTTTGCCTATCAGCTGCAGCGCTCAGAGCTGCCCTCTTTCACCCTTCCCTTTAGTTTGACTCTGACCATCTGCTGCCCAGCTGTACTATTCCTCCCCAACTTCTTACTGAAGGAGAAGAGCTGGCCCCAAGGACAGCTGGGGCAGGGACCTTGGCAGTCCCCCTGTACTCAGTTTCCCCAGACTCCCCATAATAGTGCTGTGGGGAGCAGCTGTTTACGGAGCTGAGGAAACGCACAGGACAAGGCGGTCTCACCGGTAAGCACCAAGGTTTCTGGTCTCTCCCAAACGAACAAATTTGCTCCCAACAGTTGCCAGATAAAACTCGGGCAAAATTCAAATGTGAGTTTTCAGACCAGCAAATGTCTGATCTCCAGGAAAAGTATGTCCTACCTAAAATTTACTACTTGACTTGCTAAATCTAGTCGCCCCCTCTTGGGGGCCCAGAATAGGACCTCCCCGGGGTCCCCACCTCCATCCTGCCGCTGACCCACTAGGTCCCAGCGTGCCTTTCTAGAAACCGCTCAGTGCTCTAGGCCGGTGGCTGTCGGCGCCTCCTTTCCCTGGCTCCTGCCCTTCCCCAGTGACCGCTGGACCCTGGAACCTCAGCCCGGCGGCAGGTTTCGGCTCTGGGCGGCCCATCCTGAGAGCGAGGCCGGCCGGGGTCCAAAGGCAGCGCAGGGGCTCAGGACGCGGCGGGCTGCTGCTCACGGGCGCGTTAACGACAGCGCCAGCCCCGCTCCAACACGCAGGGACCAGGCTTGCTCTGCGAACACTGTCGCCAAAACCCCGGTTTCCCAGCGAGTCGGGGAAGGTCTCACGGACGTGTAGCACCTCTAAGCTGGTGGCTACAGGGCGGCGACGAGGCGGGTCTGGGCAGCGCGGAGGCTCCCCGAAGCCGCCTTTCGGGCGCTGGGGCGCTGGTGGGGGTGCCAGGAGCCAGCGGGATCGGACCTGGGCGCCTTCCACGGGGGAGAGACGGGGCGTGGGGGAGCACCTACCTGATGAAGAGAAGGACCAGCCAGTGCAGCGCGCTGGACAGCGTGTCCTGGCTGGCGCCGAAGACGTCGGTGACGGTGCCCGGCACGTCCTGCAGGTCGAGCGGTGGGGCGCCGTCGCGCGCGGGGAGCAGGAGCGCGTCCAGGAGGTCGCGCGGGGGCGCCCCGGGCCGCAGGCTCTCTCGGTGCTGCAGGAACTTGCGGTGCACGAAGAGGCTGAAGTCGCGGTTGAGGCGCTGGAACTTGCGGAAAGCGGAGCGCACGGGGTTGGGGAAGCGCCGCAGCCAGGGCAGCACGTCCACCAGGCTGCCGGCCCGCACGGCGCGCCCGAACTCCGCGTTGTGGCTGAGCAGCTCCAGGAACTCGGCGTCGTCGTGCCGGTAGCGGCAGCCGAAGCACACGGCGCTCATGACGTTGGCCACGGCCACCTGCAGCGGCTCTCGCGGGTCCACGAAGGCGCCGCCCGCGCTGCGTCGCACCAGCAGCGCCACCAGCTCGCGCGTCTCGCCCAGCACGTGGCCCTCGAGGGAGCGGCGGCCGCCCGGGCTGCGCGTGGAGAAGGCGCGCAGGGTGCGGTGGGCCGCGCGTCGCCGCTGCGCCCAGCGCTCCGAGTAGCGGCCGAAGGCCAGGCTGCGGCCGCCGGACACCTCGCCGTAGGACGCGAAGGGCGGCCGGTCGGCGAAGGCGGCGCCCTGGTGCACCAGCGCCTGGCGGATGGCGCGCTCGCCGTTCAGCACCACCACGGGGCAGCGGCCCAGGCGCAGCTGGAACACGTCGCCGTAGCGCCGCGCCAGCCGCGCGAAGGCCAGGTGCGGGACCCCGCCCAGCTGCGCCGCGTTGCCCAGCAGCGGCCACGGGAACGGGCCGGGGGGCGAGCCGGGCGCCCGGCGCCGCGCCCGCAGCAGCCAGCGGCCGGCGTGCAGGGCGGCGAGCGCCGACAGCAGCAGCAGCAGCAGCAGCAACAGCGACCGCGGCGCGGCCAGCGCGCTCGGCTGCCGGGGGTCGGCGGGGGCCGCGCCGGGGCGCGCGCTGCGGAGAGAAGGCGTCGGGGAGACGCTCGCTCGGGTGCGGGAAAGGCGCGTCCCGGCTCCGCCCGCCCTGAGTGGACAGCGGGGCGCCCGTCGGTCGAGGCGGAGAAGCGGGGCAGAAGCTCCTCGACGGCCCCAGCACTCCCCAACAGGGGAAGGGAAGGGGCACGTTTGTTTCGGCGTCCCCGGGCCACGCGCTCCCCCACGCCCCGTCGCGGGGCGACGGCGGCTGCAGTTCAGAAACCGCCGGGTAGGCTCCAGGGGGGTGGCGCCCAGCACCGCGGCCATGCGCCCCCGACCCCCACCCCAGAACCCGGAGGGTGCCCGGGACGCTCCTAGACCAACCTGGGGTCCATGGCGGGAGGGCCGGGGGCCTGGTGGGGTCTGGAAGCAGGTCCTGCGTGTGTCCGCGGGCGCGGGGGTGACGGGCACCTGGGCACGGGCTGGAGGAGACTCTTGGGGCCGCGAGACCTGGAGAGGACTAGAGCCTGATGAGACGCCCCCCAGCTCCTCGGCGGAGCCCCACAAACCTGCGTCCTGGCCACGTCCTGGACTCCCGGGCCCCGCGCCCCCGCTCCGCCCCCACCGCCGGCGCAGCGCAGGGTCCCCCGGCGAGTCCGAGGGCGCTGTCCCCCTTCTGCGCTTTTAAGGTCTGCCTGGAGGGAGGAGGCGGCGGGACCTGGCGGGGGGAGGGGCGGGGCGCGAGGGGGGCGGGGCGGGGCGCGCGGGGAGGGTCCCGGGCCGGCCGCTTTCGGGGGTCGCGAGCGCGGGGGCGACGTTTTCGGGCGCCCGACCCCACTCCCAGGCCCGGCCCCCGCCACGGAGGCGGCGCGCGCGGGGTCCGAGGCTGCGGATCCCGCCGCGCTCTCCACGGCCCTGCGCGCGCCCACCGTCCTGTCCGCCCGGTGACCGCACAGACACGCGCCCGCGTCCCTCCCGGGCCAGTGGGCGGTGGCGCGGGGCCGTGCGGCCCCCGGCAGGGTTCTAATACGAACAGCCGGGCCCGGCGCGGGGCAGTGGGGGCCGCGCCCCGCGCCCGTCGGGTGAGCCCGGACGCTGCTCCCGCGCCTCGGGCCGGGCGTCCCTGGCACAAAGGCCCGCGCTGGGCGGGCGCCGCGGGGCCCCCAGGTTTGCCCGCCGAGAGACTCCCCCGGCGGCGCCGCCCACGGGCCCGGGCACCGGGCCGAGCCGGGCCGGGACCGGCCCCGGGCGGGGAGGGCGGCCGCGTGCTCCGCGGATTCCAGGCCGCGCCGACTTCTCGGCCGGGAGCGCTTCTCGCGCTGTCGCCTCCCCCTTGCGTGCGGAGCCGGGGCTCGCGTGCGCCCGGTCTGGAAAGTCGGCTCCTGAGCCCGGGGCGCTTGTCACGGCACCTGACGGGCCCGGGCGGCGGCCGAGGGCGGAGCGCCCGCGCCACCCTCCCCGGCGCACGCACACACCCCGCGCCCCGTCCTCCCCGGCAGAAACTGTGCCTCCCGGGTCCGCCCGCGCCAACCGAGCTCTGCGTGTCCCACGCGTCCCTGCGCTTGGCGCTTTCCCGGCGCTGCGGGGCTCTCAGCGTTCCCGGTTGGGAGGAGGAAATGGGTTCAGAGAGGTGGCGTGGCTTTCCCGGGAGCACACAGCAATCTAGCAGAGGAGTCCGGATTTGAGCCCCTGAGGCCCCCTCGAGTGCACCACTTGACTTGAAATCTGGCAGGAACCCCTGTAAAAGCCCAAGTGCCTTTTACTCCAGCTGGGGGGAGGGGGGGATGGAGAAAAGAGGAGGAGAGAAGAGAGGAGAGGAGAAGAGAGGGGGGGGAGGGGAGAGGAGGCAAGGGGAGGAAGGGAGAGAGAAAGAGTGAGAAAGGGAGAGGGAGGGGAAGAGGGAGAGAGGGAGAGGAAGAGAGGGAGAGAGAAAGAAGGGAGCTGAGAGACTGGCAGTTGTTTTGGTTTATGGCTGGGGCTCTGTTGGGTGATAATTGCGCTGAATGAGACCACAGAGGGAGCCTCCTCACAATTCTTCAAATAACAAGTGATGTGTTTTGTTTGTTTTAATTTGGGGGCCACACCCAGCAGTGCTCAGGGCTTACTCCTGGCTCTGTGCACTGGGGTCACTCCTGGATGCCTGGGGGACCATAGGAGGTGCTGGGGATCCAACCCGGGTCAGCCCTGCCCCCCTCCTCCCCCCTGCTATTGTCCCTCCTTGCCTTTGTTTCTGAGGGACCTTCCAAGCAGGGGATCTGGGGCCACTTGACTCAGGGCCCAGGGCGGCTTGGGAGGGGGTGAGAGGCCGGGTGAGGTGTGTGGGTCCATCTGAATCCAGGTGCAAGCAGAGCACCTGGTCCTGAGTGCTGAGCTGTCTCCCAGGCCAATGGTTTGGGGGTCACCCCAGGGCTGGGAGATCACATGCAGTGTCAGGGGTGGACCCTGTTCAGCACCGTACCCCCGAGGCCGAGCCCGGCCTGCAGGGCCTCTGCGTCTCAGCCCCGACCCAGTGCCTGCCTCCTCCACTTTGCGCTTGGCTGTCGCAGCGGACCCGCCAGCCAGTCTGAGCCAGCAACATTCCAGAAGGCCTTTGTGCCCGTGCAGACGGCAATCTTCACGGCTCCCAGCGGGGGAGGCCATGCTGGGTCGTGAGAACCCAGGAGGTGGCCGCCCATCTGCCCTCCCGGGCACCTGTGGGTGCCTTCCTGCCCGGCAGAGAGTCCTAGAGCCGCGTGCAGGTGCTCGGCGAGTTCTAGGACGTGCCGCAGAAAGCTGCAGAACCAGTCCCGCCGATGCCCTGGGAAGAGAGATGGGCCGAATCAGAGAGGCTGACACTAGGAGGAGTGGGGAGCCCCAGGGTGGCCCAGTGAGTGGCCTTTGGCGGTCTGAGTGGAGACCTCGTGGGCCCCACTCCGACTCCAGGGGGCGCTCTCCTGCGCGTCCCCGCAGGTGTTCAGGCTGCAGCACCGGTGGGACTTGGGCATGTCCCAGCCCCAAATCTCAGCAGCTGGCCCTGCTGTGAACTGTCCAGTGGGGAGTGGGACGGAGAGGGATCCCGGGCCTGGTGCTGTGCGAATCCAAAGAGCGTTAACCAGATGCAGGACAGGCCTGTGCAGAGAGGCGGAGGGGAGAGCAGGATCCCGCCCGCCCGCCCCGCCTCTATGCAGCGCCTCTCCTCTGTGCCACCCCCACCCCCACTCCCCAGGCTGAGCCAGCCAGAGGTCGCCCCAGTGAGGCACCCAAAAGAAAGAGACCGAGCAGCCTGGGCCAGGGGAAAGGGTGGGGCACCCACTGGGCATCTCTGTCTACCTCCCCACACCCCAACATGGAGCTATTTCATTACTGCTTTATTTGGGGTTTGTTTGTTTGTTTGTTTTTTGCTTTTTGGCCCACATCCAGCGATGCTCAGGGGCTACTCCTGGCTCTGCACTCAGGAATTGCTCCTGGTGGTGTTCAGAGGACCCTATGGGATGCTGGGAATCGAACCCGGGCCGGCCACGTGCAAGGCAAACGCCCTCCCCTCTGTGGTATTTGCTCCAGCCCCCTCATTACTGCTTTAAACCGGCAATGGGAGTCAGCCCCGAGAGTCATGGCAGCTGGTTTCCTAGACAAGCCCCGGGCGCTCCCACCCTCCCTCCACATGTGCCCCCAGTGCAGTGGGTCACCCCACTACCCTGCTTCCTTCCCCCCATGACCCCCGCCTTGGCCTCCATCCTCTGCTCCCCAGAAAGCCTGGGGGAAACTGACATTTCCGGAACTTTCTTTTTGGCAGACATTGAGCCCGTCCTCCGTGGGACATGAAAAGGGAGATGGAAAGTCCGCCCAGTGACCAGGCTCGGACAGGCCTTCTGCGTGGGGGGCTGCGGCACCCCCCACTCTTCCCAGTCTGTGTTTCCGGGACAAGACCCTCCCCCGATCCCAGCGGGAGTTTTGGGTTACTTCCATGTTAATCTTGTTTTTAACCCTTTTATCTTTATCAGAATTTCTCTTCCTTTAGAGCAAACGGTCCGCCCAGCTCTCCCATGGGCTGAATCTCTTACGGGACAGGGAGGCGGATTCTCAAAATCCTCGAGCACACCAGCTTCTGAGCTGTAGACTTCCTCAAGACTGTAACCCTATAAATGTGTGTTTGCGGCCCCCAGTGTCCGGGTGAGGGGCCAGGGTGCGGGTGGGGTTGGGAGCGGCCTTCAGAGGGACACTTTCCTCTCTGAGCTGGACATAGGTGCCCAGGCTGGACACAAACCCGCAGGCTCTGGAAGAACACTCCTAGGCTCCTGCCGCCCAGGGTGACTGGACCCCTCTTGCTCTTGGGGAAGCGTCTACCACAGCCCCTCCAGAGGGACACGTTAGGGTCACCCTGCTGATGTCAGCCTCTGCAGCTGACTCCAAGGACCCTCCAGAGCCGCCTGCAACACTGGAATCACACAGGCACACTCAGCTCAGTGGACAGACGCGGGACAGAATCCCCTCTGCTCTGCCCAAGACCACCCATGTCTTCCAGCTTTCCCAGCCTGGGGGAAGAGGGTTTGGGGGAGACAAGAAGACCACTTTCGGGGCTGGAGCGATAGCCCAGCAGGGAGAGTGTTTGCATTGCACATGGCCGACCCAGGTTCGGTTCCCAGCATCCCATATGGTCCCCCGAGCACCACCAGGAGTAATTTCTGAGTGCAGAGCCAGGAGTAACCCCTGAGCATTGCCGGGTGTGAACCAAAAAGCAAAAAAAAAAATCACTTCCTTCTTGCATTTCTAGCACCTGAATAAACTCTTTTTGTCACTTGTCACTCTAAATTGGCCTCTTAGTGGCGAGTGCCCCTTTGGGTTCAGAGAGAGTGAGACACATTTGAGTCCAAAGACATGAGCGCACAAGGTTCCGAAGAGTATTCAGAGTTGACACGCCAGCATCCACACAGGCGGTTCCCTGAGTGTGTGGCTTCGAGGTACGCCATGATCAAATATACGTGAGCACCGGGACTGTGGTGGTCCCAGTGAACACACATGTGAGCCCCACCCTGGCCCCAGTGAGCTGCACACACAGAATGTGTGCAAGGCCACGTGTGCAAGGTCATGTGTGCAAGGTCGCGTGTGCAAGACCGGCCACTCGAGTGCGCAGCTGTAGGCAGGCACTGCAGCTGAGGGTGCAGTCCTGTCATCACAGCTACGGAGCCAGAAAGGAAGGGAAGGGACAGAGGGCCGGGGCTGTCCCTCGGCCCTCCTCAGGCTCCCACTTCCAGACCTGAGTCTGCTCTGGGCCTCGGCGATGGGGGTGAAGCCGGTGACACACAGACACACCCCAAGTGACAGCCCGCCTCCCCCCCCACCCAGTGCCGCCACTCCCCTCTGTGTTTCTGCCTGTGCAGAGCTTTCTGCGGCCCAGTCCTGGGCCTGCAAGAGGCTGGTGCTCTCTCGAGGCCTCCCTTCCCGTTCCTGGGCTCCACCCGCCTCCATAGCACTGGGCTCTAAAGTAACACTCGGCAGACGCCACCGGAGTCC